GAGGCAAGCCGGCTCACCTGTTCCCTATTTAAGAGCTATGACAAAAATGAGAGGCTTCTGCCTACTGTTCCCCTGGAACCCCCTCACCACAGGCCCCCACTTCCCTGAATCCCACTAAGCTGTCAGGATGGGCTTCCTGACAGACCTGTGAGTAGAGACCAGACGGTTCCCACGGAGAGCAGGTCAGGTCACAGGCTTGGGAGGCAGACAAAATACCTCACCTCTCTGAACCTCAGCTATCTTACCTGCCCAATGGGGTGATTCCACCTACCATGTAGACGGAGACAAGAGAACTAAAAGCCTGGTGCCCACAGTAGCTCCATGTTACCTCACCTTCCACCTTCTTCTAGGCACTGATGCGGGAACACAAACAGGAGGACAGCTGTGACCCCTAAGCGCTGGCTCCCGCCTTGCAGTGGAGGTGGTCACAAGGAGTGGTGGCTAAGGACTGACCAGGGAGACCACACAGGGCCAGGAGCAGAAAGGCCTGTGCCTTGAGAACGGCAGGAGATGGATCGGAGCCCTTAGGGGCCGTTGGCTGTCTGTGTGAGCCACTCTCCATCCGGGACACAGGAGAGCTCGCCAGGACAGGAAGGCCAGAATGCAAGGAAGAGGGGCAGGGAAAGCCAGCTGGGGAAAAGCAGCCAGCCTGGACAGTGGGGGTCTCGTGTGTCACTGTTCCTCCCCCTCCCCCCTCAGCCCCCAGGGAGGACCATACCACAGCCCCGAAGAAGAGGACAGAAGAGGAGTGACTGACTGCATGACCGGAGCCCGCCTTCCTCCTGACTCCGCGCCATGGGCTCCAGCTCCCTTGTCTGGAGGGTGAACATGCAGGTGTACCCAGATGTGCCCCCAAAGTTGTGCAAGCTTAGAGCTTTGCTGGGCTGCCACACGGGCATTGCAGCACCCAGTTGAAATGGGTGTGTGTGGGTGTGCATATATACATATGCTCTCACACATATGTATTTTTTTTCCAGCGTGGGTTACACAGGGGACAAAGTGGAACCAGTGGGTGCGGTGGGGGCAGGAAAGAGGAAGAGGTGTGGTCCACCGCAAGCAGGAAGGGTTCTGGGGGCAAAGGAGGGTTTTGGAAGAGCCGAAGTAGGACAGCTTGAAAAGTAGACTCAGTTACGCAGGACCCCTGGGGATGGCCTCCAATCGGCCCTGGGGGACTTGCTTCGTCTCCTACCCCAAGGTAGGGGGTGGGGACTGCATCACTCCCTCCCTGGCCTGGCAGTCCTGGCACCTAACACAGAGCCTGCATATGGCCAGTGCTCAGACAGTGTCTACCAAACTGATGCAAATAACCTCACTGAGCAAGGCTGGAAGGGAATTTCCACCAGAGAACAGAAGCTGCTACCTTTTACTGGGGATGTAGCACGTGCCAGGCACCATGCCAAACACTTTACATACATTATTTCAGGTAATCCTCTCAGAATCCAGTGAGATGGGTCCTGTTCTGCTATTATTTCTATCTACCAATGTGGAACAGGCTGGGAGGAGGCAGGGTGTGCATTAGTAAGGGAGGCATGCCAGCCTTCAAAGCCAGGCTACTAGCACCCACAGTTACAGCTCTGAAGGGTCATGAAGATGCCAGCCCACAAGGCAGAACTGAAGACAAACGCTCATGTTGAGCGGAGGCCACATGACGGAGGGAGGCCAGTGGCCAGCCAGCTAAAGGCTTTGAAAGCAGCCTGCCCTGGGGGCTTCTCAGGGCAGCCATGGCCCTAGGCGCCTGCTCTGGGGTCAGAGGACAGGCGGCTTATTCGTGCCAATGCCCTACCCTCCCAGTTCAATCAACAGGGTTTTGTCGACTGCAGTTTGCAGGCCCAAGAATTTGTTTCCAATCTGGTTTGGAAACATGCGTCCAGAGCCCTTCAGCCAGGCGCTTCTGGGGCAGGGGAAGTTGGTAACTCCTTCCAGTTACCCGAATAAGAGGACCCAGTAGGGCTTTCCTGAGCCAGACCAGCAGCTTTGTTTTGTTTCTCCCCACATGGCTCGGAGGCACTGGCCTGACAACTCACCCCTGGGGCTACTAGTTCCATTTCACATTTCTCCTGCTTCTGACTCCTGCACAGCTTTCTGTCCTGGAGGCTTAGACCCTGGTTTCCAATGCAGACCTCCTTGAAGTATTTCTTTCATAGAGACAAGCAACTTCCTCTTAAGGCCTCTGCTTGTCCAGAGAGGCCCCAGCCCTCCTACCCTCCTGGCCACTGGGCGAGACCGCAAGTGGTGGGACCTCTCCTGATGGTCCCAGAAACCTGCTGCTAAGCCACAGTAACAAGAGTTTCCGTAGGAAGGATCCCAAACACAAACTGATCCTCCACTTTCAAGGATTCTGTTTTAAACCCCAGACAGAGTCCTTGTCTCTAGGCATCTGGCCCTGGGGGAGCTTGGGTGAGAAGTCAGCAGGGGAGGGCAGGTGGCAAGAAAGGGGCCTCTGGTCTCTAGTTCTGGCCTCTCCCTACTCAGGGAAGGAGGGGCCCTGGGGCCTTGTGCCCAGCATCCCTGGACACCACAGGCCTGCCTGGGTAGGCACATTGCCAGGAACATGTAATGAGCCCCCAGGGGTGAGGCAGGAAACCGCCTCAGGCCACGCTCGGAGGGCGAGCCTGTTCAATCACTAGGGCATTCCCCCCTGGGGCTCCTACCTCCACCACCACCACCACCACCACCACCCCCACACCGCCTGTCCAGCCCCGCCCTCCCCTAGGGCATTCCCCCCTGGGGGTCCTACCCCCGGCCCTGCCCAGCCCCCCCACCCCCCCAGGACCTGCATGGAGATGGAAGTGGGGCTGCAGCACCCAGGGCCTGGAGGAAGACCCGGGAGGTCAGTGAGGTGAACATCCGGGGTGTGGTGCAGCTCTTCTGTGTGGCTACGTTCTCCCAAATTCAAGTGTTTGGGTGCTACTGAACTATCCCAGGGTCTTGGGGAGCAGAAAAAGAGGTCCCTTCTAGGGGGCAGACCCAGCTACAAAAACACAGCAGAAGGTCTTTTTCTCTGAGATCCACAGCTTGGAAAGCAGAGTGTGGACTGCATTTCAGGACCCCTCAAGCCCTTGGCTGGGCACCCCTGTGCAGTGCACAAAATGTGTGCCATCAGTGGTAGTCTTAACAGGTGAACCGAAGCGTCAGTCCTTTGAGAGTTAAGATTTTAACACAGTAATCTGGGAAGGTCACAGACGTCTAGACCATAGCACCAAGTGACCTGTGCAGAGATGGGGTGCTCATGTTTGGGAAGTGGGCAGGGTCTTGGAGCTGCATGGTAATAACCAAGTGTTCTGGCTGCTTGCAGGAAAGCTGGGCCTCTTGGTTCCTCTTCACAGCTCCCCAATTCTGCCTTTTATGGTCACCCTAGGAGGGCTCCCCCTCCAGCTCGCTCTGGACACAACCTGCTCCTGATGTGGCCCCATGAGCTGGCCCCGCTTTCCCAGTCATGAGTGGAGTCCACTGGAGCATCTATCCCCACTTCATCTCATCGTCTCCCAGGACTGGGAGGATCTAAGGGCAAAGGGGCTGTGGCCACAACAGAAAAACAGCAAGACTGGGTCCAGATACACCTGCTCATCTTCACTTAACATGACGGAGCACCCAGAGGGCTGCAGGCAGATGAGCACACCACACCGCCCCCACCCCAAGCAGTCACCCCAGCTCTGCACCGGATGGGCAGAAATGCAGCCTCGGCTCCATATACCACAATGATATTGAACGCTTACTGAGCAGTTTCTACGGACCAAGCCCTGTCCTAAGAACTTTTCAAACATAAACTAATTTAATCCTCACAACCTTGAGGTAAATGCTATTATCCCTATTTTACAGGTGAGGAAATCAAGGTCTGGAGAGGTTACCTAGCCTTCTTGAGGTCACACGGTCACCCAGGCCATCCTCTATCTTGCAATATTTCAGATAGGGTTGCTCAGGGCCACAATTTAAGTGCTGAAGCTACAATTTTTTTCTTTTTGTAAATAGAATGTTTTCAGGGGTGGGGATACCATCAAGAGAAGGAAGTCTGGCAGGGTTGCAGTCTGTAACCTTTAATTTACACACCCTTTATTCTAATTCATACAGTGTGACAACCAAGTTCAAAAGCTTAGAGAAACAACCTCTACTGGGCTCCTACGTACTTTGTGGCCAGGTACACACCTACTTTCATGAAGGCTCCAAGATGGCCTTGCAAGGTACCTACGACTGTGTCCATTTTGCAGACAAGCAAACTGAGGCTCAGGGAGAAAGGATTGTCCAGTAGGTAGAAATGGGCTTGGAATCCAGTTCCCTCTGATTTCAAAGTACAGTCAGAGAAGCAACCAGATGAAAGGGGGTGTGGAGGGGAAGAGCAGAGGGCTGGGAAGGGAGGAGGCCACGGAAGCAGATGTGCGCACCAGATGAGGGACAAGGCCTCTGAGGACGGTACTCCCGGCTCCCTCCGAGTCGTCGCCCCAGGCAGCGCCCGGGAGTCTCAGCGACCAGAGCTGCCCCCATCCCTCCCATGGTCGCTCCCAGGCTCCGGGGGATCACGCAGGCTGCCCGGGTGAGGGGCGGGGAGGGAGGACGGACGGGAGCGCCCGGGTCCTGCTGCGACTTGCTGGAATACCAGAGCCCCAGCGCTTACGGGCCGGCCAGCACGGCCCCTCACCGTGTGCGCCCTCGGGGGCGGCCCCTAGGCGGGCTCTGGTCAGCATCAAAGACGAGCAGATGGGCAGGCGGGCCGGCGGGTGGCCAGCACCCAGGCAAGGGGGCCCGCCACCGCCGCAAGGGCCCTGACAAGGGGCGCACGGGGGCGACAAGGCAGGCGTGGGACCCCCTCCCCGCTCACTGAAAGAATGGAAGAAAGGGGCCCGCGGCCCCACCGCTCCACTCTCCCTCCCGCCGCCCCGCAGCACTCGCACCGGGCGGAGGGGTCCTAGCGGACCCCAGGCCCCCGACACACTCCCCCTCCTTTGTCACGCCGCCTCCCCTCCCCCAGGCCCAGCCCGTGCCCCGCGGGGCGCCCCGGCACTCACCCAGCGGCAGGCTGATCCTCGGGGTGAGAGCCCGGGTCGGCGGCGGCGGCGCCAGAAGCAGCAGCGACAGCGACAGAGACAGCAGCGGCGGGGCCCGGGGCGGCAGCGCGCGCGGACGGCTCCCTCGGCTCATCGCGGCGCGCGGGGCTCGGCGGTGACGGCGTCCTCCGCGCTCGGGCTCAGGTGGCTGGGCTCGACCCGCTGGCGGCGGCTCCGCCCCCCGAGGTCCGGCCCCGAAGTCGTTCGCTGGGTCCCCGCCTCCCGACCTGCGGGGGTGGGGTGGTGTCACGTGGGGGTTGGCCCCGCCCGCGCGGGAGGAGAGGGAGGGGCCAGAGGAGGGGAGGGGCAGGGCGCCCCGCCCCGTCCCCTTCCGCCTTCCCGGGAGCCGGAGGGGCGAGCGTGGACTCACCCGCCGCGGAGGCCGCCGCACTCCTGGGCTTTCGCCCCGACTTCTCAGACCCTCCCACCGCCGATCGCGCCCCTCCGGCGCCCCGAGGACCCTCTGTGCGCGCGGCTTTGGGAAGGCACGTGGGGGCTCCTCGCTTTACGCCAGTCAAGGGTCGAGCCTTGGTCTTCTCCATTTATTACTCCAACACCAACCACCAGCGGCCAATGTTCCTGGCATCCGCTTATCCGTCCCCAAATGAACTCGGCTGAGCCCGCGTCGATGCTGGAGCTAGTTGCCTCAGAGTCAATCCACCTTAGGTCTTGGCTGGGCATTCCTACAGGCCCAACACTTAGTCTAGGTACCTGCCGGGTGGTCCACGCTTAGAATTCTGTCCACAGGAAGCCGAACCTCCGTGGCGGGGGCAGGGGAGGGGGTGCGAGGCAAGATTAGCTTAAGTGGGATGATAGGATTTAATGCACTGCCTAGGCTGTGAGACATCCCCATGGGTGGAGCTCAGTTCTGCTGAAACCAGGGGTTTCAAACTAGACTAGACCTCTTAGTGGGTCCTGAATTCAACTTCGTGGGTCCCTATCAGCAATAAAAAAAAAAAGAAAAAGAAAATATCAAAGTGCAATCAATGATCATAGAAAAGAATAAGCTTTGGGAAACCTGTTTCAACTTTGCCTAAGTGTACACAGACTCACAGTAAAATGTAATTTTTCCTCTAGTTTCAGTCAGAAGGAGTTTGAAAGTCTCTGCTTGTCATTTATGTGGCATTGAGGACAATTTCTCCAAGAATTAGCTGCAATCTCAAAATGTGTGCCATCAGTGGTAGTCTTAACAGGTGAACCGAAGCGTCAGTCCTTTGAGAGTTAAGATTTTAACACAGTAATCTGGGAAGGTCACAGACGTCTAGACCATAGCACCAAGTGACCTGTGCAGAGATGGGGTGCTCATGTTTGGGAAGTGGGCAGGGTCTTGGAGCTGCATGGTAATAACCAAGTGTTCTGGCTGCTTGCAGGAAAGCTGGGCCTCTTGGTTCCTCTTCACAGCTCCCCAATTCTGCCTTTTATGGTCACCCTAGGAGGGCTCCCCCTCCAGCTCGCTCTGGACACAACCTGCTCCTGATGTGGCCCCATGAGCTGGCCCCGCTTTCCCAGTCATGAGTGGAGTCCACTGGAGCATCTATCCCCACTTCATCTCATCGTCTCCCAGGACTGGGAGGATCTAAGGGCAAAGGGGCTGTGGCCACAACAGAAAAACAGCAAGACTGGGTCCAGATACACCTGCTCATCTTCACTTAACATGACGGAGCACCCAGAGGGCTGCAGGCAGATGAGCACACCACACCGCCCCCACCCCAAGCAGTCACCCCAGCTCTGCACCGGATGGGCAGAAATGCAGCCTCGGCTCCATATACCACAATGATATTGAACGCTTACTGAGCAGTTTCTACGGACCAAGCCCTGTCCTAAGAACTTTTCAAACATAAACTAATTTAATCCTCACAACCTTGAGGTAAATGCTATTATCCCTATTTTACAGGTGAGGAAATCAAGGTCTGGAGAGGTTACCTAGCCTTCTTGAGGTCACACGGTCACCCAGGCCATCCTCTATCTTGCAATATTTCAGATAGGGTTGCTCAGGGCCACAATTTAAGTGCTGAAGCTACAATTTTTTTCTTTTTGTAAATAGAATGTTTTCAGGGGTGGGGATACCATCAAGAGAAGGAAGTCTGGCAGGGTTGCAGTCTGTAACCTTTAATTTACACACCCTTTATTCTAATTCATACAGTGTGACAACCAAGTTCAAAAGCTTAGAGAAACAACCTCTACTGGGCTCCTACGTACTTTGTGGCCAGGTACACACCTACTTTCATGAAGGCTCCAAGATGGCCTTGCAAGGTACCTACGACTGTGTCCATTTTGCAGACAAGCAAACTGAGGCTCAGGGAGAAAGGATTGTCCAGTAGGTAGAAATGGGCTTGGAATCCAGTTCCCTCTGATTTCAAAGTACAGTCAGAGAAGCAACCAGATGAAAGGGGGTGTGGAGGGGAAGAGCAGAGGGCTGGGAAGGGAGGAGGCCACGGAAGCAGATGTGCGCACCAGATGAGGGACAAGGCCTCTGAGGACGGTACTCCCGGCTCCCTCCGAGTCGTCGCCCCAGGCAGCGCCCGGGAGTCTCAGCGACCAGAGCTGCCCCCATCCCTCCCATGGTCGCTCCCAGGCTCCGGGGGATCACGCAGGCTGCCCGGGTGAGGGGCGGGGAGGGAGGACGGACGGGAGCGCCCGGGTCCTGCTGCGACTTGCTGGAATACCAGAGCCCCAGCGCTTACGGGCCGGCCAGCACGGCCCCTCACCGTGTGCGCCCTCGGGGGCGGCCCCTAGGCGGGCTCTGGTCAGCATCAAAGACGAGCAGATGGGCAGGCGGGCCGGCGGGTGGCCAGCACCCAGGCAAGGGGGCCCGCCACCGCCGCAAGGGCCCTGACAAGGGGCGCACGGGGGCGACAAGGCAGGCGTGGGACCCCCTCCCCGCTCACTGAAAGAATGGAAGAAAGGGGCCCGCGGCCCCACCGCTCCACTCTCCCTCCCGCCGCCCCGCAGCACTCGCACCGGGCGGAGGGGTCCTAGCGGACCCCAGGCCCCCGACACACTCCCCCTCCTTTGTCACGCCGCCTCCCCTCCCCCAGGCCCAGCCCGTGCCCCGCGGGGCGCCCCGGCACTCACCCAGCGGCAGGCTGATCCTCGGGGTGAGAGCCCGGGTCGGCGGCGGCGGCGCCAGAAGCAGCAGCGACAGCGACAGAGACAGCAGCGGCGGGGCCCGGGGCGGCAGCGCGCGCGGACGGCTCCCTCGGCTCATCGCGGCGCGCGGGGCTCGGCGGTGACGGCGTCCTCCGCGCTCGGGCTCAGGTGGCTGGGCTCGACCCGCTGGCGGCGGCTCCGCCCCCCGAGGTCCGGCCCCGAAGTCGTTCGCTGGGTCCCCGCCTCCCGACCTGCGGGGGTGGGGTGGTGTCACGTGGGGGTTGGCCCCGCCCGCGCGGGAGGAGAGGGAGGGGCCAGAGGAGGGGAGGGGCAGGGCGCCCCGCCCCGTCCCCTTCCGCCTTCCCGGGAGCCGGAGGGGCGAGCGTGGACTCACCCGCCGCGGAGGCCGCCGCACTCCTGGGCTTTCGCCCCGACTTCTCAGACCCTCCCACCGCCGATCGCGCCCCTCCGGCGCCCCGAGGACCCTCTGTGCGCGCGGCTTTGGGAAGGCACGTGGGGGCTCCTCGCTTTACGCCAGTCAAGGGTCGAGCCTTGGTCTTCTCCATTTATTACTCCAACACCAACCACCAGCGGCCAATGTTCCTGGCATCCGCTTATCCGTCCCCAAATGAACTCGGCTGAGCCCGCGTCGATGCTGGAGCTAGTTGCCTCAGAGTCAATCCACCTTAGGTCTTGGCTGGGCATTCCTACAGGCCCAACACTTAGTCTAGGTACCTGCCGGGTGGTCCACGCTTAGAATTCTGTCCACAGGAAGCCGAACCTCCGTGGCGGGGGCAGGGGAGGGGGTGCGAGGCAAGATTAGCTTAAGTGGGATGATAGGATTTAATGCACTGCCTAGGCTGTGAGACATCCCCATGGGTGGAGCTCAGTTCTGCTGAAACCAGGGGTTTCAAACTAGACTAGACCTCTTAGTGGGTCCTGAATTCAACTTCGTGGGTCCCTATCAGCAATAAAAAAAAAAAGAAAAAGAAAATATCAAAGTGCAATCAATGATCATAGAAAAGAATAAGCTTTGGGAAACCTGTTTCAACTTTGCCTAAGTGTACACAGACTCACAGTAAAATGTAATTTTTCCTCTAGTTTCAGTCAGAAGGAGTTTGAAAGTCTCTGCTTGTCATTTATGTGGCATTGAGGACAATTTCTCCAAGAATTAGCTGCAATCACTTGAAGTTCGTTTGCTTCCCCAGCCAAAATTAGCCTCCACCAAGTCACCGTCTTGTGTTCTCACCCCACCCCGAGGGGCTGACACAGCCTCCTACAGGGTGGCTGTCAGGTGGGGGAAGTGCTCGCATGGTCCCAGATCTCCTCTCTTGCAGCCAAGCTTCCTCATGCTCCGTGATTTCTGCGGCTCAACCATCCTGATACCCTTCAGTCAGCAAAGTCCAGGCTAGCAGCACCCCTTTTAAAAGAGCTCCTGGCACTGATACAGAATTCCACATGGGATATGGGCAGCACCAAGCATGTATAGTTGTAGCACTGCCCAGACCTCAGACTCTTTACCTATAAATAATGGTGTCAATCCATCTTTACCCAACTATCCCAAGCTTCTATCTGCCGCCAGGAGCTCTACCCTGATCTCCAAATGGCCTCAACATTTCTACTTCAGTGTGTCATCTAACAGGCACCTCAAATTCAACATATCCAAACTAAGCTCCTGATTTCTCTCTACTCCCTCCCAAAAAAATGTGCTCCATCTATATGAGCCTTCCCATCTCATTTCATGGCAGGTCCATCTTTAAGTTGCTCAGGTTCAAAACCTTAAGTGCTTTCTTTTCTCACTCCTCACATCCAATCCACTAGCAAATCCATAATCTGACCCTTACCACCTCCCAGGGTTAGTCACCACCCTCCTTCTCCCTGTTACTGAAGGGCCTCTGAGCTGATCTCTCTGCTTCCACCCTTATTCCCCTGCAATGTTCTCAACTCAGCAGCCAGAGCGAGTTTTTCAAAACCAAATCCAGGTCATGGCACTGCTCTGCTCAAAACCCTCCAGTGGTTCCCTGTCTCGCTCAGATTAGATGCCTACTGAGGCTGTAGCAGTGAAGTGTCATCATGTCTGAAACTCACTTTCAAATGATTCAACAAAAACAAATGTGTGTGCACAGAAATCTGTTGCATTCCTATATACTAACAATGAACTAGCAGAAAGAAAAATCAGGAAAACAATTCATTTACAATTGCATCAGAGAGAATAAAATACCTAGGAATAAACCTAACCAAGGAGATGAAAGAACTATACGCTGAAAACTACAAGACACTCATGAGAGAAACTAAAGAAGACATCAATAAATGGAAATACATCTGTGCTCATGGATAGGAAGAATTAATATTGTCAAAATGGCCATCCTGCCTAAAGCAATGTACAGATTCAATGCAATGCCTATCAAAATACCAACAGCATTCTTCAACAAACTAGAACAAATAGTTCTAAAATTCATATGGAACCACAAAATACCCCGAATAGCCAAAGCAATCCTGAGAAGGAAGAACAAAGCTGGGGGGATTATGCCCCCCAACTTCAAGTTCTACTACAAAGCCACAGTAATCAGGACAATTTGGTACTGGCACAAGAACAGACCCACAGATCAATGGAACAGAACAGACTAGAGTCCAGATATAAACCCACACATATATGGCCAATTAATATATGATAAAGAAGCCATGGATATATAATGGGAAAATAACAGCCTCAACAACTGATGTTGGCATAACTGTACAGCTACATGTAAGAGAATGAAACTGGATTACTGTCTAAATCCATACACAAAAGTAAACTTGAAATGGA